CTATACCTTGTACTGCTATGTATTTACTTAAACTCGTTAGGTAAGTTATGCGTTGTTTTCCTTGTGTCAATCTTTTGCTTTCAATCATTCTGTGAGTATCAAGTTTCCCAAGCCATCTTTCCTGATTATGTACCCTAGAAACATCAACTATTTCTTCCTGATGTTAAGTAAAAGTAATTTTTTTTTTTGTTTCCATTTTCTCTAAAACTTTGTCGTTGTTCCCATGTTCAGTCCATGGTATTCTCTGCTTCCTTCCGTAGAACCACATTTCCATTGCTTCATGTTTTTTTCATCTTGGGGAGATTGTTCAAAATTCACTACCATGTAAGTATACTTTGTTTCTAATGATTTTTTTTTTTTACTGTTTCTTAATACTTTGCTTAGCTTTTGGAAGACATCTTTCTCTATTCCAATCTGCCTTCGATTTCAGTGTAGCACTTCCGTCCTCCGGATATTTAAACTGGCATATTTATTTGATTTCATGATCTCCAATTTGTGATTTGCATGTTGGGCTGCTTCTTTTGCTAAGACCCAGTCATTCTGTCATTAAGCAATTGATGTCTATTCCTTTCTCCTCGCTTTCCTTCGCTGGCTTTTGTAGGAATTTTTAGTGTTTCCTTTCTGTGTCTGCTATCAACACTGTGTCATCTCTATATCTTACGCTGCAATAATTAATTCTGGTGTGTTTTCTAATTTTCTCCAATTTGACTCACTGTATAGGTTGACTCGTGTTTTAGGTTATTCTCTTATTTTATTTTCTTTCTTGGCCAGATCTCGTCATATTTTTGCCAGCCGCCATTTTCTTTTTGTACATTAATATGTTTCGTTTTATTCTTTGACTTTTTTCTTTTTTTTCTTTTCTTTCTCGCCTTTTTTCCGCTTTTAATTTTTATAAATATTTTTCTACGCTAATTCACTTTGTAGTTCGGCTTTTTAAGGCCTTTTTGCCATTCTTTCTATTCGAAGTTAACTTGTCTTGCTGAAAATTATTAACGTATCATTTTCGATAACATTAACTCCTACTCAACCAGAAGTAGACGTTTATTCAAAGCAAATATATAAGATAGAAACGGGAGCATCAATTTTGTAAAGTGCATAAAATAATAACCTTTTCAAAATCTATGCTACTAAGTTTTTTTTTTTATTTTTCTACCGAAATAGTGAAAGGCAAATAATGAAACATAAATATTACAAGAATAGCAGAAGAATAATGTACAAGGAAACGAAACGAAGCATTGATCCGCTTTTTACATTCACCTTTTCATTTACAACATTTTCTTTCCTTTGTTGTACAGCATGCATCAAGATGTGCATTTCCTGAAAATATACTTTTGCAAGATTAATGATAAAATATTTAATTTTAAACGTATTTATTGAATATATATATATATATATATATATATATATATATATATATATATATATATACAGAGAGAGAGAGAGAAAACTACTAGCAAGATTAAAAACGCATCATGTGAAAAATGAAGCATACATTCCATATATATATATATTCCAATATATTTTTTACCTTCTTGCACTTGAAAAGATAAACTATGCCTTTATATATATATATATATATATATATATATATATATATATATATATATATATCAACTGTCATTCAAAAAAATCGTTCTATTTTTCCAGCATATGTGATGAAATGTTTTTCTCCTGATAGGTTACATGGCGTAGGTAAAGATGTCTATTCAACCTGCATAATTTGATTTATCATTTTTGATAAATGTTTTATGATCAGTAATTTAAATGCGCATTTGATTTCGTTTCGTTTCTATATCTCCAGCAGTTTTTTCATATCTATCTATCTATCTATCTATCTATCTATCTATCTATCTATCTCATTTTTGACATCTATCTATCTATCTATCTATCTATCTATCTATATATATATATATATATATATATATATGTATATCATTGTGCCCATATCTATCTATCTATCTTCCTATCTATCTCATTCTGTTCATGTCTGTCTATAGATCAATTTATTTGTCTTATTTTACTCACATCTATCTCGCTACCTAGCGAGCTATCGCACTATATCTATCTATCCCATTGTGTTCACATCTATCTATCTCATTCGTTTCCTATCTTTTCGATACCAGTGTCTGTTTCTCTTGCCTTCAGAATGCCATGTAGGTGTTAAATTCTCTATGCCCTCTTTCCTAAGAATGTGTCCTTGAAATTTAAGATTTCTCTTTCTGCTTGCAAATATCTCTTTCTTTGTAGATGCTATAGTCTTAAAGAATTCCTTATTTCGAAAAGATTGTTGGGAAAACCGCATTCTGTCACTCCTGTTTACTGCTCCATCAGACTACCTTACTATTTTGATCATAGCTGGTGGTGGGTGGCGACTGATTGACTCATGTTCATCCCAAGGGTATCAGGGTAAAGATAATGTAACCGACTGGGTCACGATTCGAACTCTGGACAACGGTTCCATTTTTCGCACCCGTAACTTACCCTACCCTCATGCTCCCTTAAAATTTTACTCATTCTTCTCTAAGTTATGATTTTTTTCTAACAAAAATGAGAAAAGAGGGTTTGGAAAATTCAACACATACAGGGCGTGTTGCAGACAAGAGAGAAAAAGGAGAGTAGTGAATGAACTACCTTACGAGATTGTGGACAGAACGGGAATTAGGTAAGTTAGCAAAAAGACAAACATCACCAAGAGCCCTAAAGTGCAAGAAGTTGTGGAGGCTCATGATCATCCCTGTCTCGAACGGCCAAAGCATATTGAAGAAGAAGAAGAAAAAGAATGGCAACAACAACAAACATACATTATAATTTTTCATCATTATTCATTTTAGAATTCATAGAATTCTAAATATTTTTTTAACGCTATTTCTGATGTCATCAGTTCTCACGTAGGATAACGTTTAAGTATTTTATTACTATTTACTCCTGCCTCTGGTATCGCTGACAAAGCTAATCGTGCCATTGGTCTATAAAAGGACCTCCAATCTGTGGTCGACGGGGGCAAGACATGGCTGGTAAACTTTAATGCCTCAAAAACAAAACTGCTTTCATTTATCCACCACGGAGAACCCTCCATGCCTCCTAGTAGAATGCCTGTTGCTCAACTCCATGAGGGCACGTCTCTGCGCCTGCTTGGTCTCACACTGTCCGCTGTCCTGTCCTGTCCTGATGCGGCATTCACCCTGGGCGGATTGAGCCGGCTTCTTCCTGTTGTGAGAAGAAGATTCTTGGGATAAATTAGAGAAGTAGGGTACCCAGGCCTACTCGGATAACGTTCTTGCTTGCCGCGGGATTCCCACAGACGCAGAGACAGGAACGACCAGAAGCCGCCGGTTGCCGATGCAGACGCTCCTTGGATTTTCACCAGAGCCCTTGTTAGCCGGCGTGTGTGTCAGACCTGTCCGCCTTGGGTGGCCCTACCAGGAACTAAGTTCCGGACAGCATAGCTCTGACACTACCGTTTTACACCCCCCCACCGACTGTGAGGTAAGGGTTGGACTTTGGGGGCTTACAGTACCAGGTGTTCCCAAGCGGTCTTCCATCTAAGTACTGATCTGGCTCTACGACTTCAGATGGAACAATTATATTGTATCAATAGATTCATCTACCGCAAGGAAAGTTGGTTCTCTGTGTCGCGCCAGAAAGGTTTTTCTGGCTTGAGTCTATCCTTCAAATCTACATATCAACCATTCGCCCTTGCATGGAATGCTGCTGACATATATAGTCTGGAGCCCTCGCTATTTGTCTCAAGGTCCTCGACAAAATACAGAGACGGATATGCAATGTGGTTGGTTCTTGTCTGACATCACGTCTACAGTTCACTTTTCTCACAGACGTGCCGTCACTTCCCTATCTTTTCTCCAAGTACTTTCACGGTAACTGCGCTCCTAAAAGTTATTTTCACTGGTTCCTAACCTGCATGAATTTAAGCGCGTTACTAGATTGGCATTTCAGTCCAACCCTTTCCCTATCGAAACGGTTAAATATAGCCGTCTCTTCTGCTCCAATAGCTCCATGTCTCGTACATCTCATCTGTGGAACTCCCTTCCTATTACTTGCTTCCCTGATAGCTATAATCTCTAAATATTCAAATGTAATGTCAATCGACATCTTCTTATGCCTTGATCTAATTCCTCGCATCTCTCTTTATTCTTTTATCAATTACGTGTCCTTACTCTTGCACCCACTCTCTGTAAACCCTTGCGTGTTAGTGGTACACCAGCCTTGCTATGGGTGAAATGCTTAAAAAATTCATATCCATTAATTTCGTAGGCGATCATGACTCTCTACTGCTTCCTTTTGTTTAACATATGTGAATTGCCATGTCGTTTTTTTTACCAGATTATGCGACTTATTAGCGAAATCTAACCCAAGGACTGAAGTAACTGATTTTCCATTCTTTATATTATTCTCTGTTATTGTTTTTTTTTTTTTTTTTTTTTCCTTTCCAATTTACATGTTTATTTCTCTTCATTCCAAAAGGCTTGATCATCATTATTCCCCCTCCATACATGATCAGCCATGCCAGATTTCACTGTTTCCCCTTGGAGAAAAGCTTTCCGATAGTTACTTTCCCTACGGTTGTGAATTTTGAATTGTCCTTCTCAGACTGGCGGTCCAGCAAGGCTTCCAAGCCTAGTTTAATGGACACTTGAGCACATTTGAAGAGAAGGGCGTGTAAGAGAGTTGACTTTGTTAATTATTTTAAGTCAGAAAATATTTTTATATGCTAGGAATATTTTTACATAATAAGGATTTACTCATAAAAACCCAACTAATTTACCCGTAGCTGGGGGATGAAGTAGATTCATAATTTTGCAAGGGCATTTAGGTGGAAGTAAATATAATGAACCCGATTTATTCTCTGTTATTCTTTTTTTACTCACCGCTTCATTTCACATGATTATTTCCCTTCATTCCACAATGGTTGATAATCATAATTCTCCCTCCATACATGATCAGCCATGCCAGATTTCAGTGTCTCCTCTTGGCGAATAATTTTAGATAGTTGCTTTCCCTACGGTTGTGAATTTAGAAAGAGGACGTCTAGGCGAAAGAGAAGGAGGAAGAGTGGGGAGGCGAAAGATGAAGTGAAACGAAGCCGAGTAGAAGGCAAAGAAAGAAAGACGCCAAGAACAAGACGAGAAAGGAGAGTAAGAGTAGAAAATGTGCAAGGGGAAGGAAGAGCACGTCTGTGCGATAAAGGAGGAAGAGGAGGAGAAAGACGGCCAGAAAAAGGCGAGAAAGGAGATGAAGGGAGAAGTAATAGTAGAAAATGTGCAAGGGGAAGGAAGAGCACGTCTAAAAGGATAAAGGAGGAAGAGGAGGAGAAAGATATAGCCAGAAAAAGGCGAGAAAGGAGATGAAATTTTTTGAAGAGAGTGCCTTTGCAAGGGGAAGGAAGAGCACGTTAAAAAGGATAAAGGAGGAAGAGGAGGAGAAAGACGGCCAGAAAAAAGGCGAGAAAGGAGACGAAGGAGAAGAAGAGAGAAAATGTGAAAGGGGGGAAAGAAGAGCTTGCCTATACCATAGAAGAGGAAGAGAAAGACGGCAAGAAAAAAAAGGCGAGAAAGGAGACGAAGGAGAAGATAAGAGAGAAAATGTGTAAGGGGAAAGAAGACCTTTCTATAGATAAAAGAGGAAGAGGAAGGAAGAGAAAGACGGCAAGAAAAAGGTGAGAAAGGAGACGAGGGGAGAAGTAAGAGTAGAAAATATGCAATGGGGAAGGAAGAGCACATTTTTGGGATTAAAGGAGGAAGAGAAAGACGGCAAGAAAAGGCGGGAAAGGAGATGAAGAGAGAAGGAAGAGTAAAGAAGGGCAAGGAGAATTAAGTCGACGTCTGTGCGATAAATGAGGAAGAGGAGTAGAAGCATGGCAAGAAAAAGGCGAGAAAGAAGACGAAGGTGAAAGTAAGAGTAGAAAAAAGTGCATGCAGAAGGAAAGGAACGTCTGAGAGATAGAAGAGGAAGAGGAGGAGAAAGAGGGCAAGAAAAAGGCGAGAGAGGAAGCAAAGGGGGAAGTAAGAGTAGAAAAATTGCAAGAGGAAAGGAGAGGACGTCTAGGTGAAAGAGGAGGCGAAAGACGAAGTGAAAAGGAAGCCGAGTAGAAGGCAAAGGCGGAGAAGTGTAAGCGGGGCAGTCTATTTAATATTTTGTAATTATCTTGGTTTTCCAATAAACAAAACTAATTAGTAACGACGTGGTTAAATTTGATAACGGCCGCAAATTATTTCGAGCGAAAATATCGCTCGAGTGATTTGATGGCAGACAAACCGCCCAGATCGACGGTATAGACAGAATGTTATATTGACAAGAACCAATAAAAAAAAGGTCAAAACGCTCTTTTTCAGTCAATTTTAATATATGGCTATCGCTTGTTAAGGAACAAGCAGATAAGATTCGACTATCGGGGTAGGTATTCGATGAACTTATACTCGTAAGATTAAAATTAAATGAGATTCATTGTGAAGCACGTAGTGGATACCATAAGACATCGATCACACAAGTAGGTAAATTGATTGACGTATTCGTGCAGTACAGAGAAAGAGAAGGGGGCATAAAAGAATCTTTAGTAAGAGTGCATAATGAGAATTAGACATACACACACACACACACACATATATATATATATATATGTGTGTGTGTGTGTGTGTGTGTGTGTGTGTGTGTGTGTGTGTGTGAAAAGTGTATATAAATAAATATATATATGTATAATTATTTATATATTATATGGATAGGTACTTATGAGTGTGTCTGACGATCGCTAAAGCGTGAAACCCATGGTCACAAACTCACATCTATCCAACCAAATATATATATATATATATATATATATATATATATAAAGAGAGAGAGAGAGAGAGAGAGAGAGAGAGAGAAAGAGTGAGAGATAGATAATGAACAGACTGTGATAGATAGATAATGAATAGACTGAGATAGATAGATAGATAGATAGATAGATAGATAGATAGATAGATAGATAACGAATAGACTGATAGATAGATAGATAGATAGATAGATAGATAGATAGATAGATAATGAATAGACTGAGATAGATAGATAGATAGATAGATAGATAGATAGATACATACATACATACATACATACATACAAACATAGATAATGATAGACTTAGATAGATAGATAGATAGATAGATAGATAGATAGATAGATAGATAGATAGATAATGAATAGACTTAGATAGATAGATAGATAGATAGATAGATAGATAGATAGATAGATCCTGAAGAGACTGCGATAGATAGATAGATAGATCCTGAAGAGACTGCGATAGATAGATAGATAGATAGATAGATAGATCATGTTGATATCAAATATTCATACACATACAAATTTTTAATTTATTTTATTTCGAACTAATGAAAAAATATACTTTTCATATAATTAACTGTACACAGATGCATAATAACTAAATATGAATAGAAAACAGAAAAACAGAAAAATAGAAAAAATTGATTTAATAGAAATAAATGCCATTTATCCATTTTAATGGGTAAAAAACGTATTTGTACAATACAAAAAGAATACATAATCTTCATTTAATACCTAGCAGGATCACCATTATTCACTTGTACCACAACCAACCTCTTCTTGTAGGTTTTAACTAATATTTTGCAAATTTTAGTTAGTATTTTGGTCTTTTCTTCTTTGCATATGTTCTTCAGATCCTGGATCTTTGTTTGGAGTTTTCGATTGCATTTGAATTTTCAAAGAATGCTACAGATTCTTCATTGGGTTTAAATCTGATTTTGCCATTTCAGGATATTTAAATTATTTTTTTTTAGGAAGAGCGTCGACCGAATCACAAACTTCTACCCCAACAGAATAAATAGCGTAGGATTTTGTATCTGATGTCTGAACCTGTGAGGCTAATTTGAAAATGCCCTCGTTTTTTTTTTTTCCGGGTTTCTTGTCGATCATAAATTGGATTTGCTGGACAAACTAAATATTCTCGGCAATGTCTTACTGTCGAGGATGTTTTTTTTTTCTTTTTTGGCAACTCAAGGCTCATTCTTTATGGAGGCCTATAATTTTTTTTTTTTTAACTTAAACACGAAGGGAGTGGTGATAATCTTCGAATCTGTGTCGTTGACGACTAAATCAATGAGAACCACAAGCATTTTCGTCTACCTTCGTTAGGATCGGTCGTTTCAAAAAGTAAAAAAATAAAAAAGAGAGAAGATTTTTAATTACAGTTGATCATTTGGAGCTTTCAAAAGATCTCTTCTCAAATACCTAGCTACTTGTTCAACAGAGCAACGGAAAAAATGGTGGACGTAATGGGTGTGATGCAAGCCGTTGATTTGAGTGATCTGTTCGAAAGTCGAATTATAAAAGACGGCAAAGGGTGCGCCGTTGGCTGATTGTAACATCGCAAACCATCCTTTATGTAGGCTCAGTCATCAGTGGTTGATGCGGAGCACGCGATTGACGGTCGGCGATCTAATGGCTTCAAAAAGAAAGGATTAACACAAGCGAATTTAGATCACCTAGTTTGTTCAGTAATATTTCTCTGTTAAACAAGTCACTTCGTTATTCGCTGATATTCACAATGAAATAACTTTATGCATTTAACCGTTGGTTTAATGCTCGTTGTTTTTTTTTTTTTTTTTTTTTTAGGCTCTTCTCGTCTTCCAGCTATGCTTTTGGAATGAACAAGACGAGAAAGGAGATGAAGGGAGAAGTAAGAGTAGAAAATGTGCAAGGGGAAGGAAGAGCACGTCTGTGCGATAAAGGAGGAAGAGGAGGAGAAAGACGGCAAGAAAAAGGCGAGAAAGGAGACGAAGGGAGAAGTAAGAGTAGAAAACGTGCGAGGGGAAAGAAGAGCTTGCCTATACCATAGAAGAGGAAGAGAAAGACGGCAAGAAAAAGGCGAGAAAGGAGACGAAGGGAGAAGTAAGAGTAGAAAATGTGCAAGGGGAAAGAAGAGCTTGTCTATACCATAGAAGAGTAAGAGAAAGACGGCATGAAAAAGGCGAGAAAGGAGACGAAGGGAGAAGTAAGAGTAGAAAATGTGCTGAGTTGGATCTTTTCTAATTGATCTCATTAGCTCTAAGTTGAAATGATGATCCCTCTCCTTGTTATGACCTCCTCATCTAGATTTCCTCTCTACTGTACACTCATTTTTTAAACGTATTCACCTTTCTCTTGATGGTTATTGAATGGACTTTGAAAATGGAATGTTATCGAGGAGAAGAGGGCACTGAATCTCTCACGTTATTGTCTATTCACAGTCGTAGTTTAATATAAGCGCTTGATATATTTCTCCAAGTGTGCCACTCTAACCTGCCTGCATGTGTTCTTTCTTTCTGGTGGGGCATTTATATATCTAGTTTTAATCCAGTGGTTCCACGTAAGCGCAGCTGAATGGCTCATTAAATGAACTCATTAAATGTCAGGATCAGACACAGAGGCGAAATTTTGCACCTGCTGCACATTTCTTATTCACCTGGTTTCTCCAGTGCTTCGGTGTGACGCTGGACTTCTTCAGGCTGCATTGAAGTGTTAATGAGTGTTCGTCCATTCTTACTTGGTCCAATACGATAGCTTACGTTAAAGAAAGGTAAATACCTAGTGTCACAGCAAAATTGTCCTATTGTTCGATTAAGATCTGAAACGTTGTATCTTAGAAATGATTAAAGATATCTTACTGGAATTTTCAGCCGTTTTATCACCTTATTTGAGCAATAAGTATGTATAATTACTCTCTAAGCTTAACAGAAGTATCATGATTAAAACGAAAATAACATGGTCGTGGAACTCATCCAAGTTCCTTGACCCATAGGTCTGTGCCTCCAAGAGCCACGACTACCATCAACAAGCCGCTCCATCCAGAGCATTAGAAGCTGGTTCAAGCAAGTATATACAACTGATAGAAATTAAGGAGAATGTTATATATATATATATATATATATATATATATATATATATATATATTTTATATATATAAAGTATTTTTAACAAAAAACTTTGTAAATCAAGTTTCATAAACACTTTAGTAAAGAGGGCTTGGTTTGGTTTCTTTTACGGCATATCAACCTCAATCGGTTATTCAATGCAGACAAGTTTGTTTGTTTTTTTTTATTGTTGGTAATATTCTTATTTTTGGTAATATTTTTATTGTTGTTAATATTTTTATTGCTGGTAATATTTTTATTGTTGTTAATATTTTTATTGCTGGTAATATTTCTATTGTTGGTAATATTTTTATTGCTGGTAATATTTTTATTGCTGGTAATATTTTTATTGCTGGTAATAGTTTTTCCTTCAAAGTTTTATTGCTGGTAATAATTTTCCTCAAATAATTTATTACTGCTATTAAAACCTACTTTGACAAATTCATAGTGTTTTGACCCCAATTTAGGGGTTAACTATTTACCCATTTTTGGGAACATCTCTGGTGTTACACCCCCGGTCAGGGTGGACCTGGGAACACCAGCAATTAAGAAGTGGTTCCACGCTCTTCAAAACGTCCAGATCAGCGGCCTTGCTGTTCGACGTAGTTTATCGACTTACCCAGGAACGGATGTAGTTTATCGTCATACCCAGGACGGTCTTTCTGTTGTTCCCAGGTGTACCCTGATCTCGGAGTGTAGGCACTTGTTAGGGTCCCATGGAATACCGATCCCTCAAACAAATCCAAATCTCTATGAAAGGATAAAAATAAATTTTTATAGTAAAAATTTTATATGAAAATTACCAAAAATACATATTTGTAGTTTAGTTACCAACAATACATATTTATTGTAAACATACACAAAATACCTATTTATAGTAAAATTACCAACAATACTATTTTAAAGCAAAATGACCAACAATACATTTTAACATGAAAGAAATAAGAAACTTTATTCAGTAATAAAGGAAACCAACTAATTCAACAGTGAACAAGTGGGTGAAGAATTGCAAATAAACCATAATAAATCTACTGCAGCGGCAAAGAAACCTTAAAAAAGAATTCAAAAGCAAATGCAACATACCAAATGCAGAAACAATAGCAAGATAAGCCTCTCCAAGGTCAATACGCTGCACGTACCAAAAAAGCTGTTGGGACTTTGCCTTAACCAGCAAGCGCATCCCCTTTACCATATGAAAATATTTCAGACATTTTATATTAAGGTTAAGCAGAAGGCATGACTGTTGGGACTTAATATAACTGGAGGGTGATTATATATATATACTAGTGTACCCGTGCCGTCAAAAATCACAGCAATTGTTAGAAAGTTTTAATAGGAACGTGCAATGAAACCAAAGTCTTGAGATAATAAATTCGAGATTCGATAAAGAAGAGATAAAGATGTTAAAACTAACATAGAGGCGAATGAACCGTTTAATTAATCTATTCAATTCATAATTTTAAAACTTTAAATGGTATCTATAATTCAATGATTACTCCTGGTATTATATAAATCACTTTTTGCTGAATATCTTTTCATGTTTAAAATTTTATATGTTTAATATAACAGTGTAATGACGATATCTCTCGGAAGAAAAAGATTAGCGACAGAAGGGCAAAGACAGCGATGACAAAGCCTATTTCAAGATTAATTTGAAGCAAGACGAACGCTTAAAAGGTATCTGAATGCCTCACATGATAGGCTTGAACAAATAAGATTGCAATCAAATTATCTTTGGAGTAAATGAACTGATTAATTAAGCGGTTGATTTTTGATCGGGAACAAATTTGGTACCCATCAGTAGTTACGTAATTTACGGTTAATACTTGAAACCAAAGATTCTATTCTTGCTGCACGGGACCATTACTTGCTAACTGGAAATTACCAAGCGAAAACCCTCAAAAACTGTGTTAACCTGAAATGCAGATTCTGTGATAAATACCCAGAAACGATTGGCAATCTTGTATCATGCTGTGTGGTGTTCGAAGGCAATGAATATAAAACACGGCATGATAGCGTGGGCCAATATCTGTAGGGGAAAATCTTCAAGTTTTATGAGTAGGAAACCGCAAGAAACTAGACTGAACATCACCCAGACTCGGTTACAGAGATTGGAACTATAACAATCTTATGCGACTTTACAATACACACCGAACAACCGACGCTAATCGCCCAGACATCGTGAACAAAGACGACAAAAACAGAATCTGCTTTACTATTGGCATGGCAGTCCGTTCAGATTGTAATGTATCTTTGTAGATCTGTTGGGGCGCACCCACCTTCTGATGATAATGGACTTATCCCTCTCCGATATAAGTCAGTGCTAGAGAGAGTAGGTGTGTTGTGCGAGGATCAGGTTCAGCGAAAGCAGTCGAGATCTGGTTACCATTACATACCGTTGACTTTTGCTATTGTTACTTACTAACCGGCGTTCCTTATTACTAATCACTCTGTTGGTATTACCTCTTACAAATATACCAGTATTTATCCCTACAACTGTGTTTGTCTTTATTCGAATACTCACACGCGGGGAACACTCACAACAACTCAACAAGATCCTAAAAAAAAAAAAAACTACGAAAATACAAGGATTTTGATGTGGAAATCTAAAAAAAATGTGGCATATGAGGACATCAAAATTTCCTGTTATGGTTGGGACCCTTGATTTGAATGGAAAAGGTTTTGATAGACTCGTTGAGTGTACTGCTTTAAAAAAAACAATTGTTTTTTCAAGTAATTCTTACTCCTTACGAAGAGCATTATTTTATCTCTGTAAAATGTGTGCGATTTGAAGTTGGTTCATTTCTAATTGTTTTGGCAAAAATGCTCAGTGGAAAATGTCATGATGCCATTTCTGACCTTAGACATCTGTTTGGGAACCGGAAGGAAGTGTATATACAACATAAATCAAAAGAAACAACAACAAAAACAACAATAACAACAACAACAATAATAATAATAATAATATAGATACGACAATAAAAGAGCGTAAACTATGATGAGGTCTAAATATATCTTGGAATCTAGGAAGTAAAGAACCAAAGGCATTTGGCAAACAAAGAAAATGTCAGAAAAGAATTCTGTAGAAGATAAAAACCAATTCTATGAAGTGAACTCAATGATCGTAAAAGGATTATGGCTATAAATTCGCTAGCGTTGCAGATTTCTACTTAGAGTATCCGAATTATCAACCGAATTATTACCGAAATAAATAAACTGTATTCCAAGAATATAAAGGACTTTCCGAAAAGATGCACAATCCGAAGAGGGGCGTGGCCAGATGTTTTGGTAGCATGGGGTTAATCCGTTTTGAGTCGATCTACATAACTACAAATATTCATTCTTTTTGTAATGTTAACAATAGTTGCAACTTTTTGTAACGTCAACGAATACTCGTTGTCACTTTTATATGCTCGTTGTAGTAGAGACTTTGTAATTGCAGATACAACTATAGTAACGCCGTTGAACAACACTGGTGTCAGACGCCTTCGAATAACATTCGCACTAATAGTACTTGCTCGATAATACTCGCTCGAATAGTAACCACTGAATATTGACCCGAATAGTAATCTGTATAGTAATCAGTATACACAAATAGTATAGTGAATACTATAGACAATAACGAAACGTCTAGTAATAGAGGATAGTGTAGAAATAGGGTCCCGTCTAGTAATAGAGGATAGTGTAGAAATAGGGTCACGTCTAGTAATAGAGGAAGTGTAGAAATAGGGTAACGTCTGTAATAGAGGATAGTGTAGAAATAGGGTCCCGTCTAGTAATAGAGGATAGTGTAGAAATAGGGTCCCGTCTAGTAATAGAGGATAGTGTAGAAATAGGGTCCCGTCTAGTAATAGAGGATAGTGTAGAAATAGGGTCCCGTCTAGTAATAGAGGATAGTGTAGAAATAGGGTCACGTCTAGTAATAGAGGATAGTGTAGCTCAAGGGTCCTGTCTAGTAATAGAGGATAGTGTAGAAATAGGGGTCCCGTCCAGTAATAGAAGGATATTGTAGAAAATAAGGGTCCTGGTCTAGTAATAAAGGATAGTGTAGAAATAGGGTTGTAATCTAGTCGAGGAGGATAGTGTAGAAATAGGGTCCCGTCTAGTAATAAAGGATAGTGTAGAAATAGGGTCCCGTCTAGTAATAGAGGATAGTGTAGAAATAGGGTCTTATTTAAAGTAAGAGGATAAAATGAATCCAAGGATACGTCTCCAATTAATGAGGATGAAAGAAATAGGGTCCCGTCTAGTAATAGAGGAAAACCTGTAGAAATAGGGTCACGTCTAGTAATAGAGGATAGTGTAGAAATAGGGTCCCGTCTAGTAATAGAGGATAGTGTAGAAATAGGGTCCCGTCTAGTAATAGAGGATAGTGTAGAAATGGTGATCGTTTAGACGACACGCTAATTCCCATATATACATTTCCTTTACTATCATGTGATCTACTTATTCAAAATGGGATCGCCTATGTTTCTTCTCTGGTGATCTGTGTTCAAACTCAAGTGTCGGCAGCGACACTTTATTCCTATATGACAGTAAGAATCAGTGGTTTAACATAAATCATATTTTGTATGAAATAACCTCCTTCTTAGGCTTTTCCTCTATGGTCACGTGGTCTACTTGAGTC